CTCCGTGTCGTCAGCCAACGCCCAACCACTGCTTCCCAAGACTGAACTTCCAGCCAACTAGCTGAACTGGTGCATTTAATATAAATTTTAACCTCATTGAGGAACTCAGTTCGAGGGTTAATTAAGTGATTGATGGTTGTTCAGGTCTATGCAATTGCACATATTGCTGTAAACTTGGGATTTCACATTTTCATTCTCTTAAACTAATTATTTCCTCACTTTCTCTCTTTCTGCAACTTGTGTGAATGCGTTTGTTTATGTGTTAGATTAGTTTATATGTCTTAGATTTATCCAATAAAGCCTTATTTATATTGAAAAGAGAAGTATCTTGTGTTTTGTGCTTACAAGTTAATGTCTTAAACTGCCGATCTTGTTACTGTGCTAATAAATAGTGTTTTCACTATACTTTGGATATTAATATCCATTGCAGAGTTGATGTTATACGGCTCGTTCAATGAATCGCTGGCCGTCTCAGTGAGCAGCCGTAAAACAGTGATTCTGTCCAAATTCCCTTTAAAATCTTAAATGATTCCCTTTGAGCTAAATTGACCTGTTTCCCTTACAACAGCTATTATTTAAATATGCAATTAATTCTTGTAATTAATTTCATTAACATTTTTAATCAATTGACAGCTGGGTTAAAAGTTAATGACTCTTCCTTCCAAAGTTTTTCTTTTTAACCTATAATACCCAAGACATTGTGTCTCTTCTGTCTTCACTAGACACAGTTCATTATGCAAATCAAATGCAGTTTTCTTTTTATTTTTTCTGCCCTTATTAGTACCTGTGATTTTGTCTCGAACCAGCTTGCAGGACTCAATCTCGCCAATGCTGCCGAAGAGGCTGCGGAACTCTTCCTGGGTCATGTTCTGGGGCAAGTAGTTGACAATGAGGTTTGTCTTGCTGTCGTCATTAGAGCCGCCAGTCTGCATGGGCGAGGGGCAGCTGCGGCTGTTGCTGGAGGGCCCGTTGGCCGTGGCGGAGTTCGGCCCATTCGTCACCTGAGGCTCCATGTTGCTGATTATCTGCAGACAAAAGAAGGGTTAAAGAATGTGGCATCTGAAAAGTAAGCAGTTCAGTAAACAGCATATTTTATGTCAGATAAAGGGGTTTGGAATAATCTGGTGTATGTAACTGCAACTGCAACATTTAGCTGTGAAACCTCACAGACTGACTCTAAATAATACAATGCACGACACACTTACTGAAAAACTGTTTATGCATCTCTAGACTTTCAGTAGCTTTCTTCCACCATCCCTCCCCCTCACTCCATCACTGATATTTTTGAGTTTGGCAGTGTGTTTTGATGGTTGGCTCAACTTGACAGGGTAACAATGTGAGCCCTTCAGCGTGGAGCGACTGTCATGGCGAACAGCGTTTGCCACTGGTTTAGCCGTGCGCTTTTAAGAGCAGGTGTTTGAAGAGAAGCTTGCTGGCCCTGGGGAAGTAGGAACAGAGGAGGCCCCAGTCTGTGCTGCTTTTCAGCCTCAAACTTTTTATTTCAAGATTGTTCCACACCGCAGCTAAATGTATTCACTCATTTGCATAAAGGATGTTTATGTGTGAGCTCATGTGTGTTTAATTTTGTCACCCGACTCTATTTGAGGGGGCTGGGTGACATCTAGAATCGTGTCATATTCTGACTGTCACGAAGGTGGAAGATATGTGCGTGAGGGAGCGTGTGTGAGAGAGTGCAGATTAGGGGGCAAATCTTCATGGTTGTGAAAGCAACGCGCCATGAGATCTTCTCAGGTGAAGAAAAAGTAACTATGTCGATCAGTGGTGCATGTTGAAAACAAAATTTCATATTACACCTTTTATAACACTAGCCTGACCATTTCCAACTGTCTGGATAGCCATGGTGAAGCCTAAAACGGTGTCCTAACCAGACATGATGTGACAAAGCAACACTACATTTTGTTTTTTTCATATTGGGTAGCACCGCCGCCATGCTGAAATATTATTGGACCAAAATTTTGCTTCTCATGCATAATAAACATGGAGCAAGAGTGACTGAAAGAGGAGGAATTTAAGTAAATATTCATCTGATTGGCTTTTTTGCGTTAGGCAGGTTTTTTCGCAGTCAGTGTGGACAGAAAAATTGCAATTTGCTCTAATATTGTCACGTTGAGTCTGGTTAGGACATGGTGTAACGACAGTCCCATTGTGTGCTGTTTGTTTTACAGCGTCAGTCTTTTAGGAACATTCAATGAGGTCTTTCACTGTCAGACAAAATCTCAGACCAAAAAGAGGATAGAAGAAGTAAAAAACTCTAAAAATAAACAAATAAGAATTAAAACAGCAAGCATGACCTGATTATAGCTCATTCTAAGCTGATTCTGTAAGTCAACCATGTTTAATATTCATTTTCTCTTCCTCTCTGACTGGATGTGGCATAATTCAGATCAACATCTGCACTGAGAGGGTGAAGGAAAAGCGCTAATGTTTCCTGCTGATAGATTCAAGAGTGGAAAATAATAGAGATGAGGAGGAGAAAAAAAAATGGATCTAAGCTGAAATTCAGCTGCACTTATTTTTAGCTCTTCAAAAAAATACTCTGTATCTGCACTCTGAAGTTCGACTCTCCTTTATCAAAGTGGGCATATTTAGAAAGGTTAACAATTTTTCCCCATCTGACACCACGCTAGTGTTTGCACTTAGGAGTATTTTTGAGAATAAAGCTAAAAACAAAGCTATTCAGTTGTGTATGGTACGAAGCCATCAAAAATAACTGCAGCATTTCTCTGCTCCCCTAAATGTCTAATCTATTTACTTCCTTAATATATATATATATATATATATATATATATATATATATATGTGTGTGTGTGTGTTTGTGTGTGTATTTATTTAAGTTACACTCTGATTCTGTAAAATGGTTACAAAAAGGGCAGATGCAGTTGCATTCCCCCTTTTCTGGATCAACCGCTGTGCCTCCATTTTTAGTCTTTGTATATGTTAAAATTTTTTCGATGTGACAAATAGAAAAAAAAGCTGCTGGCAGCCCATAGGAGGCTCATCTGCAAAGCTCTCAAGATATGCATGTAAATGGATCCTGTTCCGTACTTCTCTGCGGCAAAAAGGGATGGAGCGACACAAAGGGACAAAATAGCCATCGCCACAGCAGGTCTTGATGGATGTGTGTGTATGTGTTTATTTCTTGGTGTTTTCATGTGTGCATGAGTGAGGGGAGAGTGAGGGGGGGGGAATGCTCAAACCTCATGGGATGAGAGCTTTGAATATTCCAGAGAAGGAACAGATGAAAGTGGACACCTTTCATTCTGATTCCAGGGACCTTGTTGTGTCTCGATGGCCAATTAAAGACCTGTCCTTCCATTGTGACACTAGCTCTTATATGCTGTCTTATTATTTTTCTGTAGCTGAACTCCCCTCGTTGTCATACTGAGAATTGTTCCTTTACACACTCACTATTGCTGGACATTCGCCCTAGCAGATTGGTCAGTTGGTCCCTCCAACTCCAACAATATTTTTCCCTCCTTTCCTTAACTACTATTCCTGAATAGTTAAAGATTAGATTTGAATGTAAAATTGGCCATTAAAAATAACCAACCAAATAAACAAAACAAGGAAACTCTTTGCTTTGTGTTGCCTAGAAATCTGTCAATAATTAATCAGGAGGGAGTTTCAAGAGTGCTGATATACAACACTGGGACTTTTTGCTGTATGTGAGGATTTTTAAATGACTCTTTCTTCAGGTTACATCATTGTGCCAGTAGATGGCAATAAGAATTGATTGTCTTAATGAGTGATTCACTGAGGCAACTGAGTCATTGTATCATTCACTCAAGTGATTTGTTCAAAAAGTTGTTCTGTTAAAGAACTATTAAAATATTACATATATTAAAATAGGCTACTATATATTTATAATACATATTTTTTATATAAATTAATTTTTTAAAAACATTTTTCAAACTAAATTCATGTGTCATTCTTTCTGTAGAATATACAGTCCCTGATATGTGAACCCCTGTTAAATTGTGCATTTTATCTCAGGTTGTATTCTTTATTGACCAACTGACCAATCAGCATCTACAACTTGAACTATCGGCTTTACTACACTTAATGTGTGAAGTAGAATAGCTTTTAGGCCTGTCAACAAACTCGTAAAAGGGCAGAAAGTGATTTCTCAGAATACCTATTTCAGTGATATCTGCCAAGTGGTAGGGGCATTTAATGGGTGGCATTAAAAAATGTGTATACAGCACCTTTAACTGTGATAGTACAATAAACGTTTGTTGTATGGATGCTAGCTAAGGCAGAGCCTAGCTGGCTGTATCTGTTTGTGCTGTAGCTGTAGTAGGCAGGGAGACAGACAGACAGGCAAGGCGAGCAGACAGGCAGACATGCTAAGGCATCACAAAGGCCTTGGTGTCAGCCGAGGGACAGACATCATCTTCCTTTTGATTCAACTGAACAGTAGCCCCAGATTACACTCCTTTATTTTTTCAAACGCAATGGCAGATATGCCGACTGTTTCTGAATGCTGCTCGGCCCGGCTCAGGCTATGAGTGAGTATGTGTGTGTGAATGCAGGAAGGAAGAAGCTCTGCCACTCTGTCTTACATAAGTGCCTTAGAGGATGTCAGGACGGGGATAAAAATACAGGTTCAACCAGTCCAATGTCCCTGAGTCACGCAGAGCCAGAGGTGTGTGTTTGTGTGTTCACAGGACTGCAGATAGATGCATTTCGGTGTGTGTCGCTGATACCTGCCATTTCAACATGGCACTTTAATGGCCTTATTAGCTAAGATGATAAAATGTCAGGCTTCTATTCTGATGTGTGTTTTTACTGTTAATGCTCTCCAGTTATTACCGGAGACTTCTGATATTAGTACTCCCTCCTTTAGATGTCTGCTCTTATTTATGTGGCCCTGTAATTGCTAAATCTACGAGAAAACAACACTGGTAATGATCTTCAGGTTCAAGTAAAAGATAATTTTTTTCTTGCAGTCCAAATGCAAAATATATATAATTATATATATATTGTTTGTTGACATATATTATATATTTTTCCATACTAAAGTGATTCCTTCAGCATATATGCAATTTTTTTTTTTCTAATAGCATAAGACACTGCATTCACAGACATTATACATATCGACAATACAACATCCATCCATAATATGTTATCAGGTAACACCACTAATAACAATTACAGTAATAATACTAATAATAACTTTCATTTAAAACTTATTATTACGCCTGTTTCACTCTACCCCTGCACACAGCCTCCCTCTCATAGCACAACTTCATAGCAACAATATAGCTATTAATGGGGTTAAAAATGGCGGTTAGTGGGCAGCAGTCTCCTTACCATCTTTGGCTGTGTCAGCAGTCCCTTCTCAGCCCAGCCCTGGAGCTGCGGCAGGTCTGCCTGACGCCACTGAGTCTCTGTCGATCCCTACGGGAGGGGGGCAGGGTCAATATTCAAACATGCCCATTTTCTCCATACCAAACAAACACTCCTGACGGTCTCCAGGCACACTAAAACACACAGGTGGCTTTGATTTGGACTCGGAAGACAAAATAGTTTGTATTTAGTTGGGTTTTATATATGCTA